ATATAAAATTTTATATAAACACATGGAGAATATGAAAGGAGGTTTAAAAGCTTTATCTAGAATATGTTATAAAGATGTATTGTGATTGGATGATTTTAGGATGATTTAATAGAATGTTATCATATAATCCTATTCTAGATTTTGAATATTATATATAAAAGGGATATAATTGCAGGCCTTACAGTCAGTTGGTTACAGCGACTGTATGCATCTCTTCCATAGTCATCACCTGCTTTTCATATCAAATCGCATATTTTAAATTCACATACATTCATGTATATAACGATTATTATATCAACCTTAATTTGATTATAATTGTTTTTACATCCTTTTATATATAATATTCAAAATCTAGAATAGGATTATATGATAACATTCTATTAAATCATCCTAAAATCATCCAATCGCAATACATCTTTATAACATATTCTAGATAAAGCTTTTAAACCTCCTCTCATATTCTCCATGTGTTTATATAAAATTTCATATTATCAAATATGAATATGCCTTGTTTGTTTTTTATGTGAACATCATCAGTTAGGGATTTATGGTCTGGGTACCATTTTGAAGTATTACTGTTTATTCCTAACATGAAAAGAATGTAACTTTATCTGAGAAATTATTTTTTGAATTATCAAAGTATTAGGAGCTATTATTGTAAATATACAATATTAGCAATGTATATTGTTATGATGCTGCAATCATTTATATATTTAATTATTAATTAACTATCAAATGACAGTGTTTATGAGTAAGCATGCACATGATCAGGCATTGAATTTTATTGACTTTTATTGAGTCTATGCCCAGTTTTATTCTTAGTAATAAAGAACATTGGTAATCTTGTTTGCCTTAAAATGGTCTCCAATATATCTGTTTAGTTACATGGATTTTGATAGTCATTTTCCCAAGAAAATGTTCATAGCTAAAAATTGAAGACGGTTGAGTAGAAGTATAAGGTGAAACAGACACTGTATGTAGAATGAAATGAATAGAAAATAAATGTTGTGCAAATAGATGTTTAAAATAGTTTTTGTTAAGATGTAGATGCAGATCTCAAAATTTAATTTCTACAATTAGTTTTTGTAGTCACGTTAAATCAATAAGTTTTTATATTGAACATTTGACATTGAGAGTGTCTGAGAATTAAATACCATGACTTTTGTCTTAATTTTTTTGCTCATGTTAAAAGTGACTATTTCTAACAAACCTCTTCGCTTGTAGTTTGATACTGTTCTTAGTGCACCCTTAATTTCCAAAAACATCTGAGGGTGGGAGATTTCAGGGAAGAAGACAGGGAAGGCTGTAATCAATGAAAATAAGGTTTGGCCTGCCAACAAACACAGGGAATTAATTATTTCATCAGGAATTTTTTAACAATTTGAAAGTTGATAGGTGGATTGTCAACTTATGTCATCAAGTTATGAGAACATGGATAAATAGAAAAGTATGAGGTCTTAGTATATTTGTTTGAGAACTTCCAGAATAATTCCTTTACTAGTACATGTAATAATGTAAACTAGTTATAAATTATCCTGCTTTTCAATTAGCACTATATAGCCTTAATTCTCTTTGTAGCTACATGGGGTAGCTCATACAGCCTATTTGTTTATTTGATTTAGAAGTACATCTCACCTTTTATTCAGAAGTTCAAGACACAGCATACATAATGTTTACATCCTACATGAAAAATGTGTTCCTCTCAGTTGGTTTATCATATATTTTGTTTACTTATTGAATTAATTAATCATCAGAGACAAAATAAAGGAAACAAGCCAGCTGCTTTATCTACAGATGTGCATTTGTTGCTCTTGTCTTTAGTTTGGATTGGGTAGGATTCTGTATTTTGTAATTAACTGCATGATAATGGTGCATTTAAGCTAGAGTGATTTTGATTATTTCCTTTCACTGAAAACTATGTGTTCTACTCTTGGTGATTGCATTTCAACTGTCAGAGGATTGTAGATGCAGAAATTATTTTAGGGGTCTTTTCTTACTTGTTAATTATTTCAAAAATGCCCTTCCTCTCTTTTATTTTCCTGATGCCATAAGCTCTCATTTGATCTCTTTCCCACACTTAAGGCACTTTAAGTGGGCATTAGCTGTTCTCATGTTAGAGTTTTTCTGTTATTTGCTATGGACGTGCCCCTCCCATGAAGTCTTTGAGTTGTGGGAGAAGCCAAATGTTTAAATGGACTAAATTCAAAAGTTCCTCAATTGGATGCTATGGGTGAGTGAGAGGCTATGCTGTGAGGCAGGAGGGAAATTCCCTCCATACCTCAGAATCACTCCATGTTCCTGTTAGCTGTTAATAGTCTACCAGATATTGGGATAGTTGTAGTACAGTGGGAGGGTTTTCTATTGCTTCACCCCATAACCACCACTCCCAGTGTCTGTCACCTCATGAATTGTTTTTGGACCCCCTCCCCCAAAATGGAGAACAACTATACAAAACCTGAGTCTAATTAGTGAATATTTTTGTCCAGCTACTAATAGTTGATGAGAGAAAACAGCTGGGGAAATCCACCGCCCCCTTTAACTTAACATGTCCTATAGATGGTCAGTTTGTATTGATTTTACATGAGTTGTTTAAAAACCTTACAAAAGTATATAAATATTGTAATTAAGAAAATAGTTATGTCAGGACAGAATCAGCAATGGGGCAGCAGTTTTTAAACTGATCTTTCTCTGTCAGTTCAAAGATGGATAAATGATACTTTTAATAAGCCCAAAACAAGAAAACTAGAGTAACTGAGATACTACACTTGATCTTAGTCAAAAGACTGAGACACTATGAGCAACTGAGATCATTTTTAATTATTGATGATGAAAGGTCCACCTTGAAACCCCTTCTGATTTTAATAACTTATGTTTGTTCTTATATTCCATCTTTTTAAAAATAAAATTCAACCCACATATTTTAAGTGGAATAAATTACATAAAATAGAACTACATATCCATTTCATGTGTGTTTATACCAAATATAAATATTTATACAAATTTTGGCAGAACATTCTGAACTATTAACACTGCTTTGGAAAAGCCTAACTGCAAGAATAGAGAGTTTTATACAACCACAAAGAGTTTTCCATATAAGTCATAACAAAGATTCTCAATTGCTCTTTGTTCAAATAAAGATAAATAAATAATCCATCGTAATTTATATTAGGGGCTTACTCATATAGGAATGTTCTTTACTTTTACAGATTTAATTTTATATCACAGGCAGTCCCTAGTTAAGAACAGTTCCATTCCTTAACTCTGCCTTTAACTTGAATTTGTATTTAAGTCAGAGCTTAAATACAGATTGCCTAATTACTAAAAATGGTGGACAGCCTGGTCCTTCCTCTAGCCAGTGACGTGCTGAACCTGTGTAATGCTTTCAGGAAAACAGGCTGTATATTAAAAACATGCAGCTTCATGGTTCTTGAAAGCATTGTGAAGTTTCAGCTTAAGTCAGATATTCTTAACTCAGGGACTATCTGTATATAAGTGAAGCCTTGATGGTGCCTACTAGTATATTGATTTTTCTTAGAGGTATGCCGAAAGTGTTTCATCTCCCTTTTTTTTTTTTTTTTTTGGTGCTCAGTAGAGAATTAAACTTATGTACAAAAGACTGATCCTAAGAACAGTCTTAAACCCACTGGTGGTATTATTTTAGTTTAAGTGACTTTATGCTTCTAAGATAATTTTCTACATGATTGAAAATTGTTCCATTTCTCTTTCCCCCCATTTTCTCTCATTGTTTTCATGGTTTAATTGAAACTTGATGATGTAAGATGAGGACTTTGAATCGTTTGTGAACGTTAATTTTGATATATTTTAAAATGGATGTCTTCAAATGGATTCCGACTCTGCATATGTTACAATTTATCTGCTCACCAACCTGAAACCAAGTTTGTGGACTTCTAATTCCATTTTGAGAGTATTCCTTTTTAAATGTATGATTGTTTTCAAAGTTCCTTTTTTATGGGATGATACAGTACTTTAACATACTAGACTGCTAGTTCTAATGTGAATAAAATGAATATGGTTGCTCTGTTTGTGTCTTGTGTCCTGTATTTTCCTTAACTTAGCCTATTATTTTTATTGCGGACAATACTGTCAGTTGTGGGACAGCTGTGAATAATCACTGCAAAATCCTGAGAACTGTTGCTGCTTCTTTTAAGAGTACTGACAGGGTTAGTTGAATAGGCCTGAATGCTCTGAAGGATCTTTTTTGGCTTGAATCCAAAGTGCTCTATCTCCCTAATTAAAGATTGGGTAACTTTCC